GTTTCTTCATTAATCCAATAATATGTACAACTATGTGTTTATATACACAAATCAAAGAAACAAAACCGGATAATTAAATCGCCTATTAACCGGAGCTAACCGGACTAAACCAGCATATCTAAAAGTTTGACTTCTTTGGGAGGGAAGACCCATCTCATGTCTGATGCATGAGATCTACGATCCAATATACGAAAGATCCTAGCTGTTATGGTGGTAAGTCGGAGTGGTTAAGTCGCGGCTGTCACGGTGGTAAGTCGGAGTGGTTCTCTAATCCAATACAGTGAATGAGTTGATAAAACCAAAAAAAACTATGAAAGTAATTTTCAAAAAATCAATGTCGATCTAGCACAATTGATACCATTAAAAAAGCTTTCTAAATATCTTAAGTATTTGTTTGGTTAATGACGTGAAGAATACACCAACTGAAATGATCATTATGATGTGCTGATGATATGGATATTATACATCATCCCTTGCCTAACCGGACATGTGTTCTGGTCATAAAGGTTATGATACATAAGACTAATTCTTAACGCTTCCGATTATCATGTACAAATCAAATTGATTTACGTGGAAATCAGAAATAATGGTATAAATTGTGCTCTCATGAGATACAAAGTAAAACAAAGTAATACAGTACGTTACCAAAAGCAAACAAAAAAGAGAGAAATTTTCATCATTAGATCGTGTTTTATATACTAAACGTTTAATTCAAGTCACTTCTTTTTCAAGTTCCTTGGGAATTGTTTTTTTTTTTTTTAAATCAAAAAATTAAAAGTACCTTAGGTAAATTGCTTCACCAAACATTTTAAAAACCTATAATTAAAAAAAAATAACAAGTTTAACACAAGACAATTTCGCTCACATCAAACTCTCACTTGTCACTTACATGTCCTAAGAAACTGTGCTCTGGGCTTAGCCTCTCAATGCTTTTTTGTCTTTTCTCGACCTTTTGCATGAAACTTTCATGAATTTTCTTTTCATGTGTGTTCTTTAAAGTTAAATAATCACTTTAATTCAGCAAAAATATAATTAAAAATGAACAGATATTTTGTTTTCTCTGGGTGGAGGATTCTTGGCTTGTACCGAGTGGATTTGTGTTTTGATTCTCTGCCTCATTTTCAGACCAGCTGGTTAAAAAGGCTTTTTGTTCCTTGTTTATAATCCAAGTGTCGTTTATTATCTTCTGCATAGAAATTCGAAATTCACATTTTTTTTTTCATAATTATATTTTAAAGAAAATAGATTTTCTACACTTCAAAATGCTTTAAAGAAAATAGCTTTTAGATACTACTAACAGTTATGTTCTTCTCTCCTTTAATATCTCCATAAATTAGGTAACAATCCGTTTCATGGG